TAGTGTTCTGCTTCTTGATATTAGTCCTCCTAGGGTAGTGATATTTGTCGACGGAGGAATCTTCATCGGAGGAACATTTAAACTAGAGAAAATTGAACAACACAGAGAATATTAAGCACAGGAGAAAAAATTACCCAGAGAAAATTAAAATTTCTCTGAGTTTAAACCAGAGAAATTCAAAAAAAAAAAATTTGAAAAACACAAAGAAAATTATACAGGGCAGAGAAAATTGAAATTTCATTGGATTCAAACTCTTTTAATATATATTGCAAACAAGTCAGAATCCTTCAAACCCCAAACATCTGTAATCTTATGATAAGCTTAAAATTTACTCAAAACCAAACCATTGTACATCATGGTTGATGAGCATTGAAAACAAGAAATATACACAAACAAACTATAGATTTCCAAACTAGAGAATTTCTCTGATCCAAACCAGAGAATTTCTCTGGTTTAAACCGGAAAAATTTGGTGGGGATAAGGACAGAGTGATTGAAGAGAAATAATCAAACACTTGGCGAGCATAAACATGGATTGAACATTTCAATCCAGAGAAAATTGAACAACCAGATAAAAATTTCAGAGAAAATTGAACAACCAGAGAAAATTTCAATCTGAAGAAAGTTGAACAACCAGAGAAAATTTCAATCTAGAGAAAACTTAGCAACCGAAGAAAACTGAAGTACTCAAACACCAAAAATAGAGACAAATAGATAGCAATACCATAAGCTTCAGAACCAAAAAACTTGTTAGGCTAAGTCCTCAATGACATTTGAAAATTTCAATATTCGGATTTGAAGGAGACATATTCTTGACTTCAATCTCTGGATCCACTCTTCTCTCTCTTCTCCTTCGACGTCTCTCCTCTCAAAACCCTAACCTCTTCAAAACCACTAGACCTCTCTTTCTCTCTCATCTTCTCTTCACACCCAAACCCTTCTCTTCTCTCTTCTTTCCCCCAAACCCCTTTGACTCCGAACCCACCTCTCTCTCAGCTTGTATGAGCTTCGTCTTTGACCAAATCGACGCCATCGAGAGAGAACGCTCTCAAAAAGACGACACTCTTCAGTGAATACGTGCTTGGCGCGAGTCCAAGAAGAACAAAATCCACGAACATAGCAACCACAATCTAGGATTTTGTGTCACTGGATTGAGGCCTATTGAGCCTAGCTCGGTGGAGATGGAGGTAAAGGAGGAGGAAGGCGGGGGGTTGTTGAGTAAGGAGGTGGAATTGGTGCATCCATGGCCTGAGTGGATTGAATTGGTGGAGAGGTTGGTGCAGCAGAACTATTTTGATCATAGGAGGAAGGATGAGGTGAAGATAGTGGAGGATTTGGGGTTTCAAATGTCGGATGTTGCAGAGGAAGGGATAGATTTCACGAGGGTGTGAGTTTAGGGACCTTAGATATCAAAAAATAATATTCTGGATCTCTTCCATTACTAAAAATGTAAGAGAGACCTTAAACTAATTTTCCCTATTTATTTAAGATACAAATTATCTTTCGTGATTTTAAAAATTACATCTCGTCCCTTTAAATTTATACTCGGATAGCAAACATTTATTTTAATTAATAAATTATCAAGTCAATTAACAATTTTAATAATGTCATAAATATTTTTTAATTAATAATTCAAATAATTTTTAAAATTATAGAAAGTAATCTATATTTTAAGTAAAACTAAAAAAATATATTTATATGTTATTCAAAATTCAAAATATAAACACAATTTTCTAAATCGCCTTGTAGCAGGATGGCACATTGCCAAAGTCATTTGAGTTTCTTTAATGAAGCCCCATCCACTTGTTCAATATAATTTATGTAACCAACAAAAATTATAGTCAGGATTGCTTTCAAGTAGAGCTCATGTTCCCATCAACAATAGGGGGTTAGTTAAGTAAATAAGACATTCGAATCCTTCGCTCAAGACATGAGTTTAAGTCTCTATAGTCTCTTGTTGGGATTAAACATACTCTTTAGCGCCTAGAGCACACGGGGGCCTAAGCTTCGGCCCCGACGACGGCATAGGTTTAGGTGCTAAGAGACAATACTCCTTGGTGGGTATATTGGAATAGCATATCTGCATATCTATTTAATGAATCAAAAAAAAAAAAAAAGTTCATTTTCCTATCACCCCACCATTTAATAATAAGAAGAAGAAGAAGAAAGAAACAAAAAAATGTATTTTTATTTTCTTTTTTTGGATAAATTACAAAAATACCTCCTGAATTTACTTAAAATATAAATTGCCATTGTAATTTTGAAAATTACAAATATCTCATTATCAGAATTTTTTATTTAATAGAATTAACAGAAAAAAATAAAATTCCTAACTACTCCTCTATATAACAATAACATTATCTGAATTGTTAATTAAAATATATTTTTGATATCATTAAAATTGTTAATTGACTTAATAATTTTTTAATAAAAAGGGTAATTTTTTATGTGATTAGAAATTTAAGGAACGTGATATAATTTCTAAAACCACATATAGTAATTTTATATTTTAAACAAATCTTAGAGAGTGTATTTATAATTTATCCTTATTTTTTGGGGGTTAAAAAATTAGCTTAGCGGTCTCTTGACTAAATGCAAAAGCATGTGATATTTAGATTGAGTTTGAATCTTAAATTTGTGTGAAGAAAAATAAAATGAAAGAAATTTGTGAAAAAATTAACTTTTTATTTAATTTACAAATTATTTTTTAAATTTTATTTTTTTATACATCTTAACATAAATTTAAAATTCAAACACGATCTTATAAATAACCTTATACTTATATAACATGGGAAAATGACTGAGGCCCCAGTGGGGGTAACCCCCACCACCCCCACTGTTTTTTCATTGGCTGAATTTTTTTTTTTTTTTTTTTTTATCACAGAGCCCCACGTGGAGGTGGAGGTGAGGGTGCTTGGGGTCACCCCCACTGGGGTCCCCAGCAAATATTTGTGCATATAGATTTATTGGAACTTAAACTAAAATCTTTAATATGATGAAGTACTCTGGGGTGTTTGAAAAGTTGGTTATTTTAGTAGGTAATTTTAATTTTTGACTATTTTAATAGATTAACATAGTTGTGTTAATTGAGAAGAATGTTAGATTTTTTTATAATTAAATGTGATATTTGTGAGAAAAAAATGAAATGATTATAAATTTAATATTATATTTTTCCTTATCAATTATTTTAATTTATTTTATCTTTTAATTATATTTTAATCCAAAATTCAAAAAAAAATTATTGCCAAACACCTCCTTAACATGCAAGTCTAGATAGTCTTCTTGGAGGATCTCTACTTGGTTCCCTACTTGGTGGACCATTGGGCTCACTTTTGGGTCCAATTTTGATGATGTGAACTATTCATATTTTAGGATTTGTAAAGTATATTATACTTGTAAAAAATCAAGTTGATCGGATATTGGAGCCCACGTGTTCGGATCATTGAACTAAATATCATTTTATTAAAAAATAAAACTATTTATTAATTTTTTAATAAACAATTTTTAGTTCGATGTTCTGAACACGTGATTTTCAATATCCGATCAATTTAATTTTTTACAAATATAATATATTCGACAAATCCTAAAATATGAATAATTTAAATTATCAAAACTAAGCCCAAAAGTGAACCCAATAACTCCCCACAAATGTATCGGCCCGCACGTTTGCTATCTATCGTTTACTAAAAAAATTAAATTTATAGTAATAAATTCATAAAATTCAAAAATAATTTAAACATAATTTCTTTTAAATTATAAAATAATAAAAAAATCAACTAGACAAATTTCATACAAGGGCTTGGTATTAGTAGTTAGACTCATGAAAAATTTACTAACCTCCTGCTCCTAGCATACTGCCTCTAAAAAAAAAAAGAAAAATGCATCGAATTCTCCATGGCCCGAATCCAAAACAACATTATTTTGGTTTTTTTTTTCCCTCTTTTATATCTGAAACAGAAACAGAGATAGGAAGGAAGAGAGAGAGAGAAGAGAGAGAGAAGGAGGAAGAGAAAAGAAGAAGAGAAGAGGGAGGGGAGACCATCACCGGCACCCACCATCTTCTGTGTGTATACATAGATCTGTGTGTACACATATCTGTATCTCTCTCTCTATGTATCTATCTCTCACTCTGTGTATCTCTCTCTCTTTCATTCTCTATATCTCTCTCTCTCTATGAAGTCTCTGTGTGATGATGATGATGTGTTGGTTGTTGATGATCTCCTATTCTTTTCTTTTTTCTTCTTTCTTCTTCTTTTGTGAGTTATGGAAAGGATGAAGAAAAGGGGGGAAAAAATGAAAAATCCCAAAACGATGTCGTTTTGGGATTCGAGTCACAGAAAATTCGAGCTACGTCACTACTACCTATAAAGATAAAGATCACACTTTTTTTGTGTGATATATGTTTTTTAATCACCCCTTTTAAGTTTTATTAAAGTGTGATATTTGGGAGTGTGATTAAAAAGGGTCATTTTTAATCACACTTTTTAAATGTCATTAAAAAATGATTTCATCACATCTTTTAAGTGTGATTAAAAACATTAAGATCACATCTTTTAAGTGTGATTAATAACATTTAGATCATATTTTTTAAGTGTGATTAATTACATTTAGATCACATTTTTTAAGTGTGATTAAAAACATTTAGATCACATATTTTAAGTGTAATTAATAACATTTAGATCACATCTTTTAAGTGTGATTAATAACTAATAAAACATGTGATAAAAAAAAGAATTCAACATATTTGAAAAATAATCAATATTATTTTTGTATGGGCATTTGAAGAATATAATACACACTATATACTATATATATTTTGAATCACAACCATATATTAAATGGAATAACGTCATATATTTCATAAATGAAAGTTAAATGTTCAAAAGTACATACAAAGGAATTAATAAAAAGTTTTTAACTATGATTACATATATTAAAAAATAAAAAAAAAACTTCAAAAAACCAAGTTCTTGAATTCTTTGACCATATTTTGCATCTCTCCAGGAAATTTTTGACCTGAAAAATAAAAACACAAATTAATTCAAAAACCGCTAGAAGCATATGAATAAACTTACTATTTTTGTAGAGACTGTTCTTGTCTTACAAAAGACAAAATCAAAAATTTTCTCATCACAATGACTCTTCATCTCCTGCATCAATAGAAAAGGAATAACGACTTTGATTGTTACTAGTATAAAATGTTTGTATTACCATATATAAATATGACATACACATAGAATCAATAAATCTAAAATGAAAATCTTCAATATATGGCCGGATATTTTAAAGTCATAAAACCAAATATATATAGAATCAACAAATCCAAAATTATAAACCAAACACCCCCTTCTTCATTTCTCACCAAATCACTCTAAACAGAGTATGTATATTTATTTTCAATTGACAATGAAGATTAAGGTTATTGAGAGAGTAGCGGGGGTAAGGAACTTAATTTATGAACTGGTTATATATGCAGAAGGTACTTACTATGATGATAAATCAGGAGTAAAACCTCCCTGACTAATCTGTTGTAGCATCAAATCAATCTTGGCATTGATCTCCACACTATTAGACTCCAAGTTTTGTACTCTTGCATTCAGTTACTCATTGATTCTCCATTGCTCTTCAAGCAACACTATCTACTAAGAGAGCTAATTGAAATGTAAGAGTGGCATGAACTTGGACAGTCATCAAGATCCCCTATGTGATATGTAGATCAAGAAGCAGGTAAGATAAGTAGCAAGTTCCACTACCATTTGGATGCCCAAAGTCAAGATGCAGAGAAAAAACAAACATCGAATCCAAATCAAAAAAAGTAATAAGAAACATCAAAGATAGTACCGTGGAAACTTGCAAAAATACTTGAATTACAGTTCAAAAAGATCTAAGTTTGGTGTAAATACCAAATGTAATAAGGCAACAAAACTTACAGCAATGAAACTAAGCTGAACCAGTATGTAAACATAATCTGATGTTTTAATGAATAGCTCTGGCAACTTACAATCAAGATTCCCAGCAGATTAGATATTACAGTCATTGCAAGCGCAAGAGCAAAATTCCCCCTAGCAAACTGCATTTCAGCAATTAAATCATGTTGTCAAACTTGCAACCATTTTTCTGTCCCGGTCTGCTGCTAAATCAAAATGGAGCAAAAACTCAAGGGAACATTAATACGAATTAACATACCCGAGTCAACGCCACTCCACTTGATAATGTTGTTGGCATACAGCTAAATATGGCCAGTCCTGTAGGAAGCAGAACCACTAACAAAATTTTGCAAAGAATCCATAGAAAATAGCAAATGACTGCTTCAATCAATTGTTATACCCTCATCCCTCTGCCTCCCCTCTTCCCAACCCCAATATTGATATGAAATGGCTGAACTCTCTCATCTCATCTTTCTGGGTTTTCCTCCAAATCAAAGGGCAGAGAATTTGAGTGCTTGGATGGAAGAGGGCCTGAAAATATTAGATTTGATAGCATATAAGTAGTTGGAAATACTAAAGGGGGAGTTTTTGGAACTTCTGGGAATCAAAGATATTACGCTTGAACTACTTTGAAAGAAGGCGTTCTGCAGATTCTGGATGGTAATGTAACTATGAAACAAAAAGACAAGATGCATAGATAAAGAAAATAAATAAATAGTTACAGGAGCCTCCCAATTTTCAGGGTTGTTTGGGGTGTCCTAAATAAGTGCACTTTTTGACTTTTTATGAAATATGAGTTGGGTATGGGTTGGGTTTGAAGTGATGTAATAGAGAGGTGATGTGACTTAAATAAGATAATATGACTTAAATAGGAAAGTGACTTTTTGACTTTTTTTGATTATGCCAAACCAAGCCTAAGCCAGAACAGCCTAAAAACCAAATATTGAAAACACCCATGAGAAAAGACCTTCAAAAAGAAATATGGATGTGTAAAACCATATGAACTACATCAATCTGTACTGCATTAAAGTATCCTGGTCGGTTCTTAAGAAGCTTGTGCTTATACAGGGTGAATAATTGATTATACATCAATCAATCTATACTGCATTACTAATCTTCTTCTTCTTGCTTGCTTTTTTTTTTTTTTTTTTTTTTTTTCTAATAGAACCAAGGGTAGTTCTCATAGAACCAATTTCATATGTTATCTATTAGTTGCTTTTAGCAAATAATATATTGCAACTTAGGTCAATAATTGATTAGTAATTCTTCCACTAGGGCTGTAAAACACTACAAACCAAGCCCCGATTGTGATACCTGTGACAAATTCTTGAGGCTAGAGCTAAAGTTGCAAAATAAACCTTGAAAATAAGGGAGTCATCAACAAGATAGAACCCTACACTGGCAAGAAGAGAAGCCATTTAGTATTATATCAAGAACTAAAATTTGAAGAAAAAAAAAGAAGAGAAATAATTGGAACTAAACATTTTAAAGATAAGGTAGTAAGAATTACGACAATAGGGGACAAAATAATACTAATTGAAGCAAGTATAATTAATGTGGTTTGCGCCTATGCATGCCAAATAGGATTGGAGAACATATTAAAAGACAATTTTGGGATCAACTGATGAGTTAATGCAAAAATAACTGCAGGAGAGAGAATAATAGGTGGAGATTTCAATGGTCAAGTAAGTAAAAAAAGATAAGTACGGACGTAACACGGTACATGGTAGATATGATTTTAGTGACCAAAACAAGGCCAGAGAACGTATCTTAGATTTCGCAGTAGCATTTAATTGCATAGTAACCAACACCTTTAAAATAATTTTTTTAATTTTTTTTTATAATAATAATTAAAGAGAGAAAAATACTTAAAACCTTTTAAAGTAGGTCAAATAAAAGTCAAACTGTCAAAGAAATAACTTTCTTGTAAGAAAATAAACCGCTTAATATGTAAAGATTGTAAGGTTACAATTTTTAAAGTTTTTGTAAAAATAAACAAAAAACTATAAACAGAAATGTTACCAAACATGCCTTTAATGTTTGAAGGTACACAGGGGTTATTTAGATTAAACAGTTATTACACACAATAACATGTTGTAACATTAAAAAATGAATGGATGAAACTGGAAGAATAGTGACGTCACTACATATAACATTAAATATTATAGATCACTGGATCTTGTGATCAGAAAATTGGTACCACTAAAGCAGACACAGATCCACAAATCCTCCACTCCATTAAAGAAGGACAAGAAAGAAATTCTTTAGAGAATGAACCTACAAAAATCATAATGGCACTTAAGAAATTTAAGGTCATACTAGCCCAAAAATTCCAACTGGCCATGCCTTAGCAGCTGCACCAATTTCTTCACTACGCAAAGTTAAACATGTATCATGGAAAATCCAAGGATAGCATCACAAACGATATAGCCAATGACAAATTAATTATGTAAGAATCTTACCAGATATAATAAATATCCCAAAAGCAATAAATTTTGACATATAGTATCTATCAGCCAGACAACCAAGACTAGGATTTACTAGCCCTACCATGATTAGACTCATAAACCTATAATGGACCAACAAGGAGTTCATACAAGCCCTACACTATTGTTAAACATGGATTTTTTTGCTTAAACCCCAAATCAGAAAGGATTGAAAATACTTGTTCATGGCATCATCAATGAGCAATAAATTGTAGGATAACATTTTGAGTAAAGTTACTATTTCAATAGAACCTAAATGTGTAACCAATTTGGCCAAGACCTAGGTCTAGAAACCAGTAATTGGAATGACAACATTACAAAAAACCCATTGTCACTTTTTTACATTATCACCCTAACTCATTGACATTCACAGCACCAATCAGGATGGGAGCTAATACTTTCTAAATCAGGATGGGAGCTAATACTTTCTAAATTTAAGCTTGTTCACATGCACGCAGACAACAAAATTAAATTAAATTAAATAATGGACATAACAATTACCTCATTGCTTTCAGGGGAACACAGTCGGCCAACTACCTCTGGCAAGTCATCAGGGAAGTGGCATCGATTGACGATAACCCACTTTGATCTAGTTTTGTTATCCTCCCACATGGCCTACAATAGGAACACAAAGCTTCTCCATATAAAGACACTATCATAGAATTAAAATGAAAAAACTGTTTTTTCTCAACAAAGAAGAAGTTCAGTGATTCCTACAAGTAGCTACACTACAGGAATAAATCTACACTTTACAGGGCTTAGAACCTAGACTGAACATTGTGTGCAATCAGGCTAGGACAGCCACCAAAAAAACAAGATTAAAGCAGTCTCCTAGGCTCATTGGATTACATTATAAGCCCAGCAGGTGTGTGCTGATATAGAAGGGTCCCACAGATGATTGGGACCAAACTAGTTCAACTTTCAACAATCAAGGTAAAGCAAGGCAGCAAACCACAAGGTCAAACCCAAGGAGAAGACTCAACACAAGCAACAGCAGCAACATCTGCAACTATCATCAGATTTTAATCTTATATATATAATATTAATCATTTATGGTTGTGTTTTTTTGTCCTAGATTTTGTTTCTTAGGTACAAAACAAAGCAAGTTGAATTGGTTGGATGCATAGATGCAAATCTGTATTAGGAACAGGCCTCATTTTAATTATTTTTAATAGCAAATGAAAATCTTGGGACCAAACCATCACCCACAGATGATTGGGACCAAACCAGTTCAACTTTCAACAATCAAGGTGAAGCAAGGCAGCAAACCGCAAGGTCAAACCCAAGGAGAAGACTCAACACAAGCAACAGCCAACTCAGGAGCAACACAGTAGCAGTAATTTGTTTCAACAAATATATTATGTTAAGTGCTTTTAGTGATTTGAAAATTAAATTATGAAAAACATACTTACAGAGCAAGCTGTAGTTATTATCTGTTTTATGTCTCAACAATGCTCTTTACTTGGTTTTCACCCATGAGACATTTAGATATTTAATACAAGAAATCACAATGAGGGTGCACTTCAAGATTAGCAAAGCTAGGTAGAATAACATACTTTACATTCAATTCATTGAGAACAAAGAATTAAAAGAATAGTAAAGCTCCCGCAACTGGAGGCCCTTACAGCACATCAAGATATATATATATATATATATATTTTACATTCAGAACACCGAAAAAGATGAAGATACTAACAAAATTATACTCACCCCTCAATGTAATCCGACTAGAGAAGATCAAGATATGTAGCCCATTGTTTCTAATGACCTAAAAAAAAAAAAAAATTAAAAAAAAATTAGACCAGATCCACATACACAACATATTCGCCATATTTCAGATCCTCTACTCTGCCTTGCTTCAGGGCAGCCCATTTATTATTCTCCCTAAAATTTTTCTCTCTCTTTTCCTCTAAAAGCTAGAGTTCTATCTTTCCCTTTTAATGCTCAGATGGAGTTCATTGTACTATTGTGCCAAAATATAATTCAAAAGATACTTGTCTCGAAAAGAGAAATATTAAATCTACATAATTTTCAATCAGAAGTCATAAACACAACATCACATTTTCCTGTCAAGCAAGAGTTTGACAATTTCCATGGGAAAAAAACATGTAACAATCTCAATTTTGACCCAAACCACCAATTCATTAAAACAATGAAAGAACCTGGAAAAACCAACTTTACACCCCACCATTTTACAATTTCAGACCAGATACCCTGTCATATGTTCAAGATGCCACTTTATTTGTTTCTGCTTTGGAGATTTCAATTTTCATACTTTTCTTTCCTAATTAGTCTCTCATTGCCAGTTATTTACAGTTGACACTCATGTGGCCGGTTAACAAACATAATCACACTATGAATTAGTAAAATTTGACATAAATTTAGCTTCCACTAAATAAGTGCAAGATTTAGAAACTGTTCAAGTCCTGGCTTCATCCCTTATTTGCAAAGTAGTAAAAAAAATGTGCTCATAAAATTACTAGATCTGTCATTAAACCTATGGGTTTGACAAACATTTTAGGAATATTGACAACATTGATTTCGAATAAACAAGGGATTATCACGATTATAAAAATTAATTTGTGTTTGGGAATCATTATAAAAAAAAAAAATCTAGAGAAAAAAGGGAAAAAGAAAGAAAAGAAAAAAAAAAAGGGCTTCTGAATCTGAAACGTAGCCACATCTGAAGATATTAACTGTAAATTGAACTATAATTAAAATCATAACCACAACTCTGATCCACATGAACATAAATTTCATAATCAAGGTTGCTGATCTATAAACAAAAATCCAAAAACATATACAAGGGCAACTGCATGCCAAACCAAGATTTGATTACCAACTCCAAATTAAATTAGAAATATGCCCAAATCAAGATTTACAAGGTTGATCCATATTCAAAACACTAATTAAAAAACCCAAGTACGTATCAAGATAAATTCCATCAACAAATATTCTCAAACATGCAAAACATCAAACATAAAGAATCCACATTATAAAAACACAGCTAACAGTGCAAAAAATCCAAAACCCAAATCAATGAAATTAAGACATGCAACTAATTAGTCTCTCATTCCAATTTTCATATATGTCTCTCAAGAAATAGACGTACATTTCACAAAATAGAGCCCAAAATTGGGAATCTTCTTCTAACAAGAAAAAAAAGAAGGCATTTGGCAATAAAAAAAAAATCAATTAGGGCACAGAAATTGCAATTTATAGGGCAAAGAGAGAGAAGCACCCATGCCTGCGAATTTGTCAACAGAAAAAATAAGAAGAAGCTGAAAAAGAAGAAGAAGAAGAAGAAGAGAGAGAGAGAGAGAGAGAGAGAGAGAGAGAGAATCTGCTCAAAGGTAGCAAAATTTCTATGAAATCTACACAATTCCAAATCTAATCGTAATGTACAACAAAAACAAAGTTCAAAATCATAAACTATTTACGATTGCAAGAAGGTAGATATACATACATATATATGTGTGGGTGTGTGTGTGTGTGTGTGTGTGAGAGAGAGAGAGAGAGAGAGAGGGAGAGAGAGACAGAGACAGAGACAGAGACAGAGAAAGGGTTGAGATAGAGAGAGAAAGCAGTACCTTCTTCGCTTTGCTCCTTCCTTCAGCTCTCCATCTCTCTGCGATGAGACAGTTCAGACCCTTCCATTCTCCTGCGATTTTGCTCCTTCGAACCCTTCTCTTCTCTGTGCCTAACCCTTTCTATGTTCCTTTTGACAATCAAAGGGTTAAAACGAAATAGGGCTTCGTTTCAGAAAGACCTGTGTGCTTGTGAAATTCAATCGGTTGGGAATGAAAGAGTCGTCCTCTGTCATTCATGGGTGCGCGCGAATTTAGAAATTGTATATTTTATATAAAAAACAAATTGAAATATTTTATACCATCACACTTATTTGGAAGCGTGATCAAATGAGAGATGCAGAGCTCTAAATCTAGAGCTCTAATTTGAGCTCTAGTGATGTGTCTAAGTAATAAAAAATAAAAAAAAACAAGACAAGGCACAAACATCACATCAGAGTGGGTCTCATATTCCCATTAGAGCTATTAGAGCTCCTATATTAGAGCTCTAAAGCATTTTTGGTGATCAAATATATATATATATATATATATTTTAGTAAATATATATATATATAATCACACTTATTTAAAAAATATGATTAAAAAGTAGTATTGTATATATAATCACATTTTAATTAGAATGTGTGATTAAAAAGTAGTAATGCATATATAATCATTTTTTCATTAGAATGTGTGATTAAAAAATATATATATATATAATCACACTTAATTGAAAAGTGACATAAAAATATATATATAATCACACTTCATTAGAATGTATGATTAAAAAATAAATTTTAAGAAGTGTTTTGAGAAGTTGGTAAAAAGTTAACCTCTGACTTTTTATCAAGCCTTTTTGAATTTTTTAGAATTGATTTGGGAAATTGGTAAAAGCTGAATTTTTTTATTTTTGGTTTAATATTTTTTAAAAGTGTCACATCACTCCAAAATGACCAAAATATCTTTACTTTTTGATTTTTGAATTAATTAATTAAAATGTTCTAGAGGATAGTTTGGTAAATTTAGGTGTTGCTTTTTTGGGTCTTTCCAAATGGGATTTTCAGCGTTTTGGGATGGTTTGGCGTTTTTGAACTGCACACAAAACGCAGTTTTTTGTGTGTGTTGCCAAAACGGCACTAAGTGTGATTAAAATATTAATCTAATTTTTTTATCACATTTTCAATAAAAATAAGATTTTTTTTTTTTATCAAGGTATGATATTTAACTATTTTTGTAATAGTGCGTAGCAGGATTGAAAAAAAAAATTTGAAAACTTAAAAAAAATCTACAATCTTTTGACATGTGATCCTATAAATTTCCCCTTCACTTCTTGCTTCAAAACGCACCCCATCAATCATAAATTGAGAGAGAGAGAGAGAGAGAGAGGCCAAAACGGCACTAAGTGTGATTAAAATATTAATCTAATTTTTTTTATCACATTTTCAATAAAAATAAGATTTTTTTTTTTTTTTATCAAGGTATGATATTTAACTATTTTTGTAATAGTGCGTAGCAGGATTGAAAAAAAAAAATTGAAAACTTAAAAAAATCTACAATCTTTTGACATGTGATCCTATAAATTTCCCCTTCACTTCTTGCTTCAAAACGCACCCTATCAATCATAAATTTTGAGAGAGAGAGAGAGAGAGAGGAAATGGCTAGAGTAGATCTTGTTATTGTTGTGATGCTCATCTCTCTGGTGCTAAGAATGGCATTGGTTCAAAGCCAAGATGGGCCTAACCAAGTGAACTGGGCCACCAGAGTTGACAATCAAAATGAGGTTGTCACCACCCTCCAATTCTATTTCCACGACACCTTGAGTGGGAAGAACCCAAGCGTAGTTAGGGTGGCTCAAGCTGTCACCACCAACATTCATCGACCCTTTTCGGTCTTGTGGCTATGGCCGACGACCCATTAATGGAGGGGCCGGACCCCTTGTCGAAGCTTGTGGGCCAAGCCCAGGGACTGTACGCAGGCCCGACCCTGAGGGCAGGCCAAAGAGGCCTGGGCCTTGGGCCCCAAATTTGGGTTGAAAATAGGGCTCCAAATTTTGATTTTTTGTTTTAGATATAAAAAAAAAATTTCAAATATTATAAGCCCAATTGAACATAGGGCCAAAAAACAAACATATCAGATTTGAGGCCCAATGAACATGGGCCCAAAAACATAAAACAGATCATGATATTCCCACAGAATGAATTCACATCATGATATATCAGATTTGAGGCCCAATGAACATCATGATATACCCACAGAATGAATTCACATGGGTCTTGCTTGCATATTTGACGAAACACGTACACAGCACCTGAGAAGAATGAAACACGTACACAGCACTTGAGATTCTAAGAAGAATGAAACACATATCTGTCTCTTCCATATTTGACAAAACCGTGAGTCTTGCATTGGACTGATGAAGATGAAACCGTGAGTCTTCAATCTTCTCCTCTCCTCCATATTTGATGGACGCCGAGCATTAACGATTTTGGGCATCAAAACCGTGAGTCTCTCTCTATATATACTAGTGGGTGGCACACACGATGTGTGTACAATTTAAATAAGTAAGAATAAAAAAAATAATAATGAAATTAATATTATAATGTATACTTTGCTTAAGTGGTATGAGTCCTCGTACTTAAATCCATGGTCATGGGTTCAAGCCTTACCCATCTCTTTGTTTAACTTTTTTTTAAAAAATAAAAAATACTGCCACATGGCATGAGAAATGGCATGAGAAGAGTAAAGCTTCAGGACACCATAAGAGGTGTTCACTTTATAATAGTATAGATAGATATAGATATATCACATTTAAATGGAGGAAGTTTTTGCCCCAATTTTTTCCCTAATTTGTTGTCCTAATTTTTCCACTAATTTTCCTCTTAATTTCTTGCCCTATATAATTTGTTCTTTAAATTAAAAAATTACCTAATTTATGTGCTTCAGTGAAAATCTATAATTTTTGTTGTGATCTAATTCTGAAAGTATATTATTTGCAGAGATCAGTGATTGTGAATTTGTGTGGATTTGTGATTATATGGAGTAGTCATGCCTCTTAGGAAGTGTATTTCTGGATGTGAAAAAAGGAAAAAGAAGCAAAAATTAAAAAAATTTATTCAATCTCAATCGGGAGCGCTTGATAAATTTTTTGATAGCAAGAAACAAATAAATTTAAATGATTATATGTGCAAATAAATTTTTATCCATTTATCCATCAATTTTTTTTTTTTTTTTTTTTTCAATGTAAGAAATGCCTCTTTTTCGAAAGTCGCCTTGGGCCTCCTAAATCTCAGGGCCGGCCCTGACTGTATGGCTCGGCCAGCCAGACCAAGCTTGCTTTCATCTTCGCCATGAACTTTGGCTTCCTAGATGGGATATACAATAGCAGCTCTATCAGCCTAGATGGCCTAGACTCTGCCTTGGTCCCAGTACGTGAAATCGTCGTAGTTGGAGGTACCGGGGTTTTCCGGTTTGCACGTGGATATGCCATTGCGAAAACGTACTCGGTTAATTTTACAACCGGTGATGCCATTGTTGGGTACAATGTTACTGTTGTTACTCCAAAATTTTAACAATGTTGTTACAATGGCATCCAAATTTTACATTTATAAATGTGCAAATAAGGGGGAGAAATGACTCTCATCCCATCTATATTCTGAATACATTAATTTTAGTAATCCAGAATATGTGATAAGAAAGGTAATGTATAATATTACTCTTTTGAATAATGTGATTCCATTATTTAAGGTTAAACAAAAAAAAAAAATACATTCCAAGTGAGCCAGAATAATTTTTTCCCTCCCGAACACGGCCTTCTCTCTGTTTGTGTTGTTCTTTTCTCTTTCAGTTCATCACTACCAACACTGCAAACATCACTGACTTCCATTTACACAAACTCAAAACAAGATTCTCCATTGGACAAATACCACCATGGAATTAAAAAAATATATTTAAAACGGCTTTAAAACACCACCAGTCGCAACCACCTACAGAAACCTAACAAAATGAAGGGGAAATTCCAAGAGAAAAGTAACGAAAAACACAACAAACTAAAATCAAACCTGGGAGACTCGTTAATTGAGGAGTTTGTTGTGCGAATTTTCAAAACTGAAAATTTGATTCAATCTAATCTCATCCAGAAATAAAATCAAATATGAAAATTTGGATTTATCAAAAAGTGCTTCAAGGCATTTGGCGTTGCCGCCGTTAGAGAAGTTGTTGAATTTGTGTGGGAAGCCAACAAAATGACAAGGAACAAGGAAAGATCATGTGAATAAAATAATATATTTATATTTCACATAATTTCATTTTTTTTTTCCCCTTTATTTCCAAATCTCTCTCAGAATTTTCTAACCAAACACAGCATAAGGCACCAAAAATCCAAACCAAAAAGCAGAGCAATCACTAGCCTTGCCGATCCACTCATTCAATATAATTTATGTGAACTAGCAAAAATTAGGCTTTCTAAATTTTTTAATATGAAGCAGAAGATATTATTTGATCTTCTCTTCTTTTTCAATTACTTATGATCCGATTGAGTGTACAAGCAACAATAATAGCAAGGGATAAATTTTGGTAAGTACTTGATTTGATACAAGTTTGATAAATGGATTGCATCTTTTTTATCAAAATTTTCATTAAATTTAAATTTAATGAATGATTAGAGATGCAAGTAATCGAAAAAAAAAATGTTAATTACATCATTGGTTGTTGAAGAAGACATTATGTGATTTCTAATATTTTAATTGTCATTTTGATTCTTAAAATGTTTAAATAGAGTGTTTTGACTTGAAATGAAAATTTATAAAAGGTCATTTCATTCTGTTTAGAATTACTGACAAATTCTGTTTGTATAACATTACTCTTCAAACTGAAGGTTCTATTTTTTTTTTCTTTAAAATGCAGTTCAAATGCATTTTTATTAGGGGATTTTTTTTAAAGTCCACGGTATTAAGATTTTGTAGCATAAAGAACAATCAATATTTTCATAATGTCTAAGGTCCCTCAACATCGATCCAGAGAAAATTCGATTTAGATAATTTCTCTGGACAAATCACAGAGAAAATTCTAAATTTCTATGGACACATCACAGAGAAAATTCCAAATTTCTCTGGTCACATTACAGAGAAAATTTTACACATCACCGACACAAAATTTCTCTGGACATATCACAGCTCTGGACACATTACAGAGAAAATTTTACACATCACCCACACCAAATTTCTTTAGACACATCACAGATAAATTTTACACATCTCTAACACCAAATTTTTCTGGATTCAAAC